ATGTTAGCCCAGGGCCAATCTTCCTCAGCAAAAAGAGGAGAATTGGCAATGGATTTTAGTTCAGGGCTAATCTTCCTCACCAAAAAAAGAAATTCAGGCAAGTTCAAATAACCAAATGTTTTGTAAATGCCATAATTTTTTTATGGTTTATTTGATGCAGGATCTAAGTTTCATATATGAAAACATATATATATTATTTTTGGTGAGGAAGATTGGCTCTATGCTAGCATCTGTTGCCAATCTTCCTCTTTTTACTTTAGGAAGATTGTCCCTGAGCTAACATCCATGCCAGTCTTCCTCTGTGTTGTATATGGGATGCCACCACAGCATGGCTTGATGAGCAGTGTGTAGCAATTTGAACCTGCGAACCCCAGGCCACCGAAGCGGAGCGCACAAACTTAACCACAACGCCATCGGGCCGGCCCCCACGTATATTTTTTCAAAGAATAAAAATGTTGGCAGCAGCTAAACATCTAGACTGCTACAAACTCTGATTTTCATATATTGGATTTTCCTAAAGTGCAATAATAATTGTATCTTAATGAAGTTCGGTGTTCAGTCATTTGAGTTTCAGGCATTAAATGCCTTTCCTTTGGTAATTCGATGTAATTTTTTTTTCTAACTCAACTCTGCCACTACATAAAGGTATGACCTTGGGCCATTCACTCAACCTATCCAAGTCTCAGTTTCCATAATTTTAAAAAGAAAGTATTGAACTAGATTCTATTATGCAACATTCCTTTATGGCGAGCCTACCAGGCGGGAGGCAGGCCAGCACACGGTCAAGGAGGAGCACTCTGACGTCAGCAGATCTGGACTGCAGCCCTGCCACATGCAGGCCACGTGAGCTGGGATAAGTTTAACCTCTCTTTCTTTGCCTCAGTTTCCAAATCTGGGAAATGCAGGTGATAGTTACCCAAACCCCACAAGTTTCCCATGTGTGCCTGTAATAGGGGGTGTGGGGAAGGGTGGATAAAATGAGAAAATATGGGTACAGTGTTTGGCACATAGTAATCTCCCAATAAATAGCAAATACAGTTAGACTATCCCCTGTGTGGGGCAGGGTAGAGGGGACGAGGCTGGAAGGAAAGGCACTGGTCAGAGCTGCGCTCTCTAACACGGTGGCCACTAACCACATATGGCTGTTGAGGGCCTGAAATGTGGCTAGTCTGAATTGAGTGTAAGTAAAACACACTCTGAGTTTCTAAGATGTTGTATGAACAAACAACATAAACTATCTCATTAATAATTTTTAATGTTTAGTACATATAAAAATTATCATATGTTGGATATATTGGGTTAAATAAAATGTTATTAAAACTAATTTCACCCTTTTTTTTCACTTTTATGAATGTGGCTATTAGAAAATTTGAAATCATGTAGTGGCTTGCATTGTATTTCTATTGGACAGCACTGGGCTGGATCATCAATTGTCATTCCAATCATTTTGACTTGATCTTGCTCCTTCTCTGTTGTCCATTTAGTCAAATTGGGAGATAAAATCAACTGCCCCCTTCCCTAAACACCCCCAACTTGTCGATTCTATGTCCTTACTAGCTCACACATCTGTCCTCTTCTCCATCTCTACTACTGGCCTAGAGTATTACAAACTCATTTGTTTATTTTGCATTTTTATTGAAATATAATTGACATATAACATTGTGTAAGTTTAAGACGTACAATGTGTTGATTTGATATGTGTATATATTACACAATGGTTACCACTGTAGCATTAGCTAACACCTCTGTCATGTCACATAATTATCATTTCTTTTAATGCTTTCCCTACGTAATGGTCCCTCCCCAATCTACCCTGCTCCTTCTTAAATCTTTCACAGTCTCCCCTGGGCCTTCAGAGACATTCAAAATTCCTCACCAAGGCATAAAACTCTTTTCATGGTCTGACCCCAACTCTTTAAATGCTCTCTTACTTCTCCCCTTCCGCCAACACAAGCTTAGCTTGAGCATGTCTGAAGGTGCCTCTCTTTCTGCCTATAGCAACACCTCACCCTCACCCCAGCTCTTCACAAATAACATAATGGTTAAGAGTCAGAGAGTGGGCTTTGACCCTAGCTCTGCGATTTACTGTCAGACTTTGGAAAAGTTACGAAACCTCTTGATCCACATTGTTGTTCCCTCTAAAAAATGAATCATAATAATAGAACCTACATTTCAGAATTTTTATGAGGATTAAATGAGATAATGCATAGATGGTGTCTGGGACTCAGTAAACCCACAATAAATGTTATTGTCAAACATTTTCTCCTGGAGAAATGCTCCTTGCTACCAAGCCCCTTCATACACGGTAACCCCCACCCGTCCTTCTGCAGGCTATGTAGAGTACATATTATGGGGAGAAGTCACCAGAGGCAAGTGAATTCGCTGACAGGAAAATTATTATTTGAAAATCTAGATTTGTAATTCAGGTAGAAAAAAGTAATTATTTACAAAAATTATGCCTTGCTTTTCAAAACATTTCTTTCAAAATAATTTTAAAATGTGTTATTGTAACAGTATATTTATATGTAGTATTTTATAAATTTGTTGGGGAAAGTGGGTATATCTATGGTAAAATTTGTCAGTAAATATAGTCTCTCACAAATTATGATTTCATTAAAAAAATAGTTCCAAATGTTTTATACATATTTAATGTTTGTGGGTTTTCTAAGTATGTAAACTTAATCCTGTTTGGATTATAAATGTAAAGTTTTATAGCAAGGGAGTATGGTAAAAATTAAAATTTTATTTAAATTTCAATATTAACATAGAAACCAGAATAGTTTCATGTTTGTTTGACTATTTATTAGTCTTGAGACTATATATTATTTATTGTATTTTGGATTGAAATGAAATAAAGCAATCATCTAGAAATATTTCAACTAGAGGCTATTAATGCTCAAATTAAAAGAAAAACAAATTGATGTTAATGCATAGAATAAAGAGTAAAGCAAACCCAAAGACACATGGCTTTTACAAAAACTATAAGGCTGCAGAAGCCCCAGCATTACTCCCTACCACATACCCATCTCCCATCAGCAGATTCTCATCCCAACAGTTGGGAAGGAATTGAGCCAGCTTATATATGGGCACAATATTTGGACCTTCAACTCAGATAAAGCTTTCATCCTTTCTCTTAACTTCTAAATAATCGCTCTAAGAAGAGGGCTTTTAGCTATTTCCATATGGATTCCTCCACCTGGAAGACACTGTTAGTTGCCTACCTGACTGCAGACCCCACTACCTTCCTTCTTCCTTGTTAATAGAACACCAACTTTCATTTTATTCAGGCAGTAGGTACCTATCCCTGGGAGCAAAGTCCCATTGTTCTAAACCTATCAAAAATTTTCAAGTTAGCCCCTTTACTCTTTGCCTATGATTGTTCAGGAAGAGGGCACATGACCAAGTGGCGATCAATGAGACAAAATGGGACGTCTGATGGGGGCTTCTAGGAAACATTTTTATTCTCTAATAAAAGAAAGAGAGCTGTGGGTAGAAGGTCTCTTTTGCACTCATCCTTTTACTTCTTCTCTTAAAACGGTTGTGTCACCCATCATGAAACCACAAGGTTATGCAGGTCTTCTGGAAAGAATGAGGAGACTAAGGGTCATGAGAGAGGGGAGATTAGGGGACAAGGAGGGGGGATACTGAAGGGCAAAGGGGGATGAGAGTGATGGGCAAAGAGAGAAGAGACTTAGTGGGCAAAGGGGAGTCCATAGGCAAGGAATAGGAGGGGCTAGGATGGCGTGGGGGCATGAGGTGATTGGGGATGGGATTCCAAAGGTCTTAGAACATGGAGTCCCAGTTTCCTTTGGCCCTCTTAGACTCAAAAGTCCACTCATCTTTAAATAATTGAAAGAAGTTAAGTTCTTGGTAAACTTGCAAATTTGGTCCATTCAGTTAATTGGTTGTGGTGTGCTCTGTGCTCACTCTCTTCCTTTCTTGCCTCTAATGGAGGGCTCCTCTGTACCCAGGCCAGTTAAAAGACTGGTAAATTTGGTGAATTGGTCATTCAGAGAAAACGAATAATCCCAAAGTGTTAAAGTGGTGGCTAAACAAAATTACTTTTAAAAAGATTCAAAAGGGAAAAGAATAAACTGAAAAATTCCCATGTGAAATGCTGACATTTTTATTACATTCACAAGAATATATTTTAAAAGAGCAATAGTGAGTTTCAGCACATTTTCAATTGTTTATTGGCTTTTTAATTGTTCATGTGAACTGCCTGTTTATATACTTTGTCCATTTTTCTGTTGGTTTTTTTGTCTTTTTTTATTTGTATGTGTTTATATGTCGTAAATCATCAATCCTTTCTTTGCCTGTGATATATGTGGCAAATATTTTTTCCCATTCTATTTCTTGGCATTTAAGCCTTCAATCTATTTGAAGTTTATTTTGGTGTCTGGTACAAGACTGGAATCTAATGGGATTTTTCTATCTAGAAGTTAGACAGTTTTCACACCACTATTTGTTGAGTAATCCACCTGGCCCCAATAATCTGCAATGCTTCCTTCTTGCATCTCATATGTGGTAGAGTCCCTTTCAGGACCATCTATTGTGTTTTAGCCAATTGCTCTGTACATTCTTGCACATAGGTTTAATTTTTGTTGTGTTATTATGTGTTCTTTTGTTCATGCTTTTCACAATTTCTTAGCCATTCTCCTATTTTTACTATTATGACAGCTGAGATTTAGAATCATTTTGTCAAGTTAAAATCTAAATATTGGCATTTAGGAAATTTATTGTGGTAGATGGAGGGTAAGTGGCATGGATTTATATACTGCATTAATCCTTGGTGCAAATGCATAACATGCCAGCCTCTCTAATCAGCAACACTTTCATGGTGCACTTTGAAGTCCTTCCCACCCTGTGGGTCTCCAAGCAAAACAAGGCCAGCCAACACTATCTAGCGGTCATTCATCATCGTTTGTTTGTCAGACGCCTTACCAGCAACCATGTGAAAAAGCCCAGGCTCTTGAAGCTCACGCCCGTGTTCTCCGCAGGTTGTTTTGCAGAACCTTCTTATGTGTGTCATCCTCTTCTATGCTGTGTACTACGCTGTTCTGGGCATGGGATGCATGACGCTCAAGTAAGTGACAGAATTCATGACAGCATTAAAAAGCTAAGAGGGAATGTGAAATGAGTCTATATTCAATACTTGGCATGTCTTCATGGAATAGAAAATGCACATATTTTTTTTAAATGGTGTGTTTTCTAGCCAGCCCTGGTGGTCTAATGATCAGGTTCGTGTCCAGGTCAGGGATCCACACCACCCATCTGTCAGTTGTCATCCTCTGGTGGCTGTGTGATGCTGAAATCTATGCCACTGGTCAAATACCAGCAGGGTCACCCATGGTAGACAGGTTCCAGCAGAGCTTCCAGACTAAGACAGGGTAGGGAAAAGGACCTAGCCACCCACTTCCGAAACAATTGGCCCTGAAAACCCTATGAAGAGCAGCAGAGCATTGTCTGATAGAGCGCCGGAAGGTGAGAGGACGGAGGAGAAAGACCGGGCAGGGGCCCACTCTGTTCTACACAGCGTCACTAGGAGTCAGATTTGACTCACTGGCACTAACAACAAAAACATTTTCTTACATTTTTTTAAGTAAAAATAAGCAAATGTGCCATGTTTGAAAATGATAAAAGTAACGATCATGAAATGAAGTGGCTAGAACCACGCAGGACTGTTCCTCTTCCTGGAGGATGGTCACGGAAAGAAGGTGAAGCTGTTACTCCCTGGGCTGGTTTTGAATCAGAGCAAGTCTGAACTAGAAGGGAATTTAGAGGTAATCTACACTCATTTTAAATATCTTCTGATACAAACTGGAAATATCTTTGGACTGTGAGTCAGGAGACCTGCATTCTAGCCTAGGTTCTCACTAACTTCCTGGATCGTCTTGACCAAGGCATAGAGTTTCTCTCATTTCAATTGTCTTCATTTGCCAAATGGAAGTAATAACCCAAAAGAGGATTATCCTGAAGACAAAGTAATACACGTATTTTTAACGACATAATTTTTAGGTGAGTGTGGGCCAATTTTTTTTGTCCTGCTATGATTGGATTCTGTCTCTACATATTTAGATTGCCAATACATTGATTGCCGTGAAATACACTATGGATATTTACCAATAATTTTCTAGAAGTTGACTGATTATATAATTTGATTTTATTTTGCAAGCAAGGAGTTAAGGCCTTTTGATTTCGGTATGCAGATTAGTGCCACAAAATAATTATATGGACTTTTGCAATGGGAAGAATGGTATTCAGCATGCTTGCAGGCAAACCCCCTGAGGAAGCGTCTGGTGCTCACCTGCAGTCTGAGCTGTTGCCTGGGACTGGAGATAGTGAGTCTGTGCCTGGAGCAGGGAAGAGCCGAGAATCCTCAGGGCTCTCTGAGCATGGGATTTCAAGGGTTTGTAGTTAATGTGAGTCAGAGCTGAGGAATTTGAAGTAATTGGGCCTTAAAGCTCCAGGAGGCGTCTGATGGACCAGCTGCACACAACTACAAACGTGGACAAGTAGAAGGTGTATACTTTATAGACTCAGATTTTACAAGAGGAAGGATCTCAGACATTAATCTCTTCAATTTACAGATAAGAAACTAAAGCCCAGAGAGGTGAAGTGAGTTGCCCAAGTTCACAGTTAACACCATCAGGATTAGAACCTTGGTCTTGTTGCTTCCAAGCCTATGCTCTCCACACAGTATTAGGTTCTCCTCCCACATTGGGTGGAAGGGGCTTCCAAGGTTACAGCTGAGACCTCAAATACAATGAAGTCCACTTGGTGGACAAAGTAGACTTAATTGAACAAAGACGACGTGGATAAGGAGGTTATTTGGCCGCCATCCAAGTCAGTCAGTCTTGAAATGTGCCACAAAGTGGGTAAAGTTAATGACTTACCTTTGTATGTGAAGAGTGGTGTGCAAAGCTTTGGTGTGCAAAGTTACAGACTGCCTCCTCCAGAGTGAACTCTTTTCCTTTGTAACATCTTCAGGGTGTCTGAGTTGGACGTCTTGGCCCCATTTGATTTCAAAACGAATCCCTCATGGCTCAACACAAATTATAAAGGTAATTCGTTTTAATTTTCAATCTTTGTCAATTAGTGAAATAAATGCCTCCAAAAATTAAAATAGTTTGTGTTTTATAAAATTTTTAAAATATCAGGCCTTTCAGCCATCTGTATCTTATATCTGACTTCAAAAATTAATGTGGAGGGGCCGGCCCGGTGGCACAAGCGGTTAAGTGCGCGCGCTCCGCTGCGGCGGCCCGGGGTTCGCTGGTTCGGATCCCGGGCGCGCACCGACGCACTGCTTGGCAAGCCATGCTGTGGTGGCGTCCCATATAAAGTGGAGGAAGATGGGCACAGATGTTAGCCCAGGGCCGTCTTCCTCAGCAAAAAAAAGAGGAGGATTGGCAGATGTTAGCACAGGGCTGATCTCCTCACAAAAAAAAAAAAAAAAAAAAATTAATGTGGAAAAGTGACACCAAAAATTTTAAAGTGGCTATTCCTAAAAGATGGAATAGGACGGAGTAAGTGGGTAGAATTCTTATACGAATTATTGTTTGGTGATATGATGGGTAAATTTTTTGTGCATTAAGTATTTTTCAAAGAAAAGGAATAATGATTTAATATACTGATGTAGAAAAATGTTTGTGAGATATAAAATGACACATGAAAACTACAAAAGTTTGTATAGTAGAATTATTCATTTTTGTAGAATAGAGTAAAATACATGGTGTCCGTGGTAAGAAATCTGGAGAATTATGCAACAAACTGTTATCTCCCAGCTGGGATGACAGCGGACTTTCATTTTCTGCTTTGTACGTTTCTGCTTAGTGTAATTGTTTTTCCCAAAATAGTATAAAACTTGTTGTAAAGAAAAGATAAGAAAGAATATATTAAGAAAAATTAATCTCTTTTAAATTTTTCATTTTTGTTGAAGAAATAGTTATTAATTACTACCTACCTACTATGTTCATAAGCCTTATGTATGTTTATAATAACTCCTATTTGTATTGACTATATGTCACACATATCTGTTTGCGGAGTAGTCATGATGAGTCTGCCCCATCTTTAGAATAATAAGATTTTAATGTTATTTTCCATTATAAAATACTACAGATAAATTAATGAAAGCTTATAAAATACCTACAAGTGGAAAGGAGAAAAAGAAGAAAATCAATCACAAACTTACTTTCTAAATATAATTATTCTTAACATTCTGTTAAATTTCTTTTTACTTTTTTTTTTTTAATGAACTGTGGATTCTTTAAACATTACAATTCTCTAGAAAACCACTGGACATCTTTTTTTGGAACAAATATGCAAATATACAAAAATTGCCAGAAGCAAAGAAACCAGTTTTCAAATATGACTTGTATGGGAAACTTGGTCAGTTAGAATCACTGAATTCAAAGAAAAAGCTTTAGAACAGCTTCCCCAAATGGGTAACCTTGTTTTGTGCCATTATTGATTCAATTTTGGGTAGACCAAGAATACGTTAGGACAAGAGACTTTCATTCTAATGAGATACAGGAGGTCTAACATTCTATCCTAACTTTCTCTTCATGCACTTCCCTGTTGAAGATAGAATTAACTTATTTTCTACCAGACTATCCTCAAATGATAAGGAAATAGTCACAGGAAAGAGTTAAGTATGGGTTGTGTGTGTGTGTTTTGCGTAGGGAGAGAGAGTTAAACTCAACTGTTATTATTTAATTCTTGCTTTTGGGTCTGTCAATGAAAGGTAGGATAACGACACAGGCTTATTGGAGAAGGCTGTGTTTTTGCGTAGCAGAGATTAGTAAAGACCCCCAGGACGCCTGGCACAGTTTACGTTGGCCTTTCCTCTCACAAAACGCTAACATTTGTACAACTATATCAATAAACCCTTAGCCCATTAGATCTTTAATTTTGAGCTTGGGGAGATAACTTCCATAACTCTTCAAAGCCGCTGCTTTGAAAATCTACACTTGTTTAATCTTGGAGATAAAATATAAGAGTAATCTCAGAGCCCTAGGCGTGTATTTAGGGTCAGGTTTCTTGTCTGTTTCAATAATTTTGTTACCCAGGAGATCAGGTTTAGCAAGGACACTGGAAAGTGTGACTCCAGTTAAAATATTTGATTACTAGCATCTTTCCTTTGTGTTACAGAGAATAGGCTACAAATTGCTTTCATTTTAAATTAAAATCCTTCCAACAATTTTACGAGATAGACAAGATAGTACTCCATTTCTCAATTTAGAGAGATGGAAACAGAGTGACCCAGAGGTTAAAATTGTTCTTAATAGACCTTAATCTTTTACAACTCTTAACTATAAGGTGCAACTAGAACATTGGCATCCTGACTTTAAATTTTGTACTACCTCCTTTAAATCATGCTTTCTCTCATTATCATAAATAAAGCATAAGCCTTCTCTATCAATATGTGCAAATACAGCTTGTTCAAGACTAAAATCACTATCTCCAAGTAGCTGCTAGTTAACCTGTAGAACCTGTAAATGCCGATAAAAGAGGCATCTCTATTTCTCTATAATAATGTGGAGGCTCTGTGAGCCACTGGTGGAGGCGGGGGTGGAAATGTGATGGGAAGAGGTGGTGTCAATATGATAGGGCAGTCCAGTGCCTTCTACAGCCTTGATTTTAGGGGGCAGGACTTGCTGAACTGAACCACACATATTCCCATATGATAGAAAAGGAGCTAGTATGAACTCTCCACTCAACTTTTGAAACCTGTTGAATTAAATTGAATAGATTGGAAGAGGAGTAAGTGTGAGGCCTTTAAAGAGGATGGCTCCGGGGACTCGCTTACTTGGTTAGTGTCTTGCTCACCCACAAGGCAATCACTGGCTTGCTGGTTAGTAAATTACTTCTGCACAGTAGGCTATAATGTGATTATTTTACTTTTTGCTTTGAATAATATGGAGTTTGCCTGCCTAGATTTATCAATTCCTGAATTATATGAGCATACCAATCATTTGCTGTGTTTTAAAAGGAAAGGTCATTTTAATATACCATCAAGGTATATCACATGTATTTGTCACTTTAAAATTTGATATATTTCTCCTTTGAAACCACTATAGTCTTAAAGATCCATATTAAAGACAAGAGGCAAAAGGTTGACCCTTAGCATGTTCAAGGCTCTTAGAGATTTGTAGTCCTGACCTGTAGATAACTAACTCTTTACACATGCTCAGGGAAAGCACTCTGAGACAGCTGGTGGATCTAGAAGAGTGCCTCCATCCATACGAGTCATTCATGAGGCTTTCTCTCGTCATTCATGAGGCTTTCTCTCATCCATGGTTATCCGTTATGTTTCCCAGATGACTATCTGAACATACCATTTTATTACAAAGACACAAAGGAGCTTATTTCCAAGGTAGGCAATGATTGGTAACAAAAACATGTTATAGTTCAATAAACTCTTATATTTGTTTTTTTCATTTCTGAAAACTCAGAACGGAATTTTTCATTAGTTTTTAATATATCTTAAAACAAGGTTTGTAATCCAATTGCAGATCAGCATGCATTGGTTACATTGTAACTTCTCTTCATTGTATTTTACCTTCTAAAATGCTAAGTACAAAGAATGTGAACAGAAATTATATATTGTTATTTTTCTGTAAGTCTAAGGATTATTAAGAGATGGAATATGTTAAAGGTTCTTACAGAAATTTGAGGATTGTTAAGAAACAGAACATATAAAAAATTCTTACCAAAATTTCTTCCCAGAGTAAGTTGTAATGGTCCTATTACTGATTGTGCTTCAGAATTTAGTTTCTCTAGTCCTGAGTAATTGTATTCTTCCTCTCATTTGCAGTTCTTTTAGTCTCAACAGAGGTCACCTACTTTGTTTGTGGATTGCTTTTCGTTCTGGTGGTGGAAGAATGGGTTTGGGATTACGCTATTTCAGTCACCATTCTTCATGTTGCCGTCACTTCAACTGGTAAGCAAAATGCAATAAATAAAGAAAATGTATTGAATCTGATGTTGTACCTAAATCGCTTTATGAGAGTAGAACTTTGCTGCATGCATACTGACCTCTGATGGAAACATATTAAAAAGTGATAATGAAAGTTCTTTACCCCTCCCTTCATTCCTTCTCCTCCACCAAGTTCTAACACTTGCTTGGAGAAGTTTGATTAGCTACATCTTCCAACTCAAAACTGCACTGAAATGTGGGTATTTCCTATTCTCCTTTCACGTTCAACTTGTTTGTCATCAACTTGTACAGGGTTTGCCTCTGTTAGGAATAATTTTTCTCCAGAATCCTTCCTTGAGACAGAAATTGACCCAAGACCAGGAACTAGAACCCAAGGAAACCTGTACTGGCAGGCTTGCAAACTTCCCAGCCATAGTTATTATAACAAGAATACCAGGTTCTTGTTAAACTAAGGGGTTTCTATTTCTATCTGTGATCTTTGGAGTCAGAAGAAAATGGATTCGAATCCCCGCCCTACCTTTTCACCAGGTTCGTAGTCTTAGCAAGTCACAACGTCATTTGTACTAGTTGCCTCCTGTACAAATGGGGGAGACCTAGTGAAGTTTCAGTGAGAATGAGAAATTGTCTGATAGTGTCTAGCATATAATAATTACTCAGTAAATGATAGTTTCATCCATTCCTTCATCCATCCATTCAAAAGTTACCCTCCCATTGTAACTTTTTCTCCCTTATTGTCTTCTATTATTTTAAGAAGAATATAGCATACTAGTTAAAGTATGGATGGTAATGAACTACAAGTTATAATTCAAAGTTACTATTATTTATTAGCAACTTAAATAACTCATATTTTGAGCACCCTGGTCTATTGATGGTATAATCAGTCTCCAGCTTAAGAGCATGGAATTTCCAAGTGAATTACTGCATTCCAGCATCACTGCTATTAGAGAATGCCAGTATATCAATCTCTTAGTGTCAACTTCCTCAGACACAAATCCGCCCTCAGTAACTTGGAGAACAACTAAACCCCCATCTCAAATTCTGTATTTTACTTTGGGATTTAAGTTTTCCTGGAAGATAGCCATAGGATATTTCCAAAAGGGCTTGGGGTATGAGGTGACTCAATCTTCAAGGCTGAGATAGGCAATTGGTTCCGGAACCATAAGAGTTACAAGTTAATTGTCTAATGTCTGGCACATAAGAAACCCTTAACAACTCTTGCTGAATAGAACTGAGTTCAGAGTGAAGTGACTCAGAACTCCAGAGAGAGCGAGGCATTGAGGATTCAGAATGGTTTTAGGATCATCTTTGCTGCATATCACTTCAAATCAACTCCATGAGCTGACCCAAGAACCTGACAATTCATAATATCATTCTAGGAGAGGCGTTTCAAATATCTGACTTAACAAATGACCTTTTGGACTATGACCTAAGGAGAACCTTGGAGCTACCTGATTTCATGAATGTGGATAAAATTTTTCTTTGTTATGTGGACATAATTTGACCAAACAGAAGTATTTCTTCAAGAGTAAAACAATAGGGCCGGCCCTGTGGCTTGGTGGTTAAGTGCGCGCGCTGCGATGCTGGTGGCCCGGGTTCGTAAAACAATAATATATGTTTTGAAATGAACAATGCCTTTTTTTTCTATTGCAGTTATGTTGGAATTCCCCTTGACGTCACATTGGTGGGCTGCTTTAGGTATATATATATGATGCCCATATGTTTGTATGTATAATATAAATATATATTTACATATAAACTGGGGGCACAAAAATATTTTTTATGTGGTTCAGGTAATTGAATCAGAAGACTACTCAAGGGCTTTATCGTTCTAAAATAACAAGGAATAAAACACAGGATGTCTGTTTATGACATATTCTTTTGGTTCTCTTTTCTACATGAATGGCATTACTGTCTTTATAGTAGTATAAGAAGAAGTGAAACTATTTCATTTCATTTCTTTTCTCTGCCCACAAATTGAACAACTGAATTCATAAATCATGTATCTAGTAAGAAAATTAACCAAGTGAAAGTAGACTCTTCTAAAGCTTTTTCTTTAGCTTTAGCCAGGTATTGACCACAAAATATTTTTAGGTTTCCTCTTTTCACTAAATTTGGCAACAGTTTTTATCTGATTATTGTCATGCTTAGTGATGAGAAATGGAAATGCTGCACTTGACCACATTCTTTCCTCTATAGTTGAGTTGTCTGTTTATGGAACCAGTATGATTTATACTGCCTATAGCCTCCTTCAGTAGAGTTTAATTCTCCACTTACTTAGCATATCCACAAGTCCTAGATGTGTGCTTTTCTCCAACATTGTTTGGTGCATACAGAAAACACATGTAGAAAGTATTGATGTTTTATTTTGTATAAGCCTTTCAAAGATGTAAATTTTTAATAGATCAGAAAAAAGATACTGAAGAAATGCTATAAATGTTATTGAAAAAAAGACCTTCTCTCTTCTGGATTTGATTTACAATGCCACAAAATTTACTGAGCCCTAGTGAGCTAAGTCACATAGCAAATGCCACCTTGATGCCAAGGAGAGTCAACTTTGGCATAATGGAATGGCCAACAGAATTTGCTAAAAATTTGAGTGACTTTTGGTTTCAATAACCAGGGTTGGATTACTCTGAGGACAGCTGCCAAATGAGGACTGAGGTAATTGTCTTTGTTTTTCTCTGAGTTAAAAATTTAGATGTAAGAGAATAGTGGCTAAACATACTGGAAATTCTATCTCATGGTCTCGTAGTGGACGTGTGTCTTTGTGTGAGGAAGTTGTGCAGTCCTGCCAGGCCTCTGATCCACTAAGGGCTCTTACTCTAGGGACTTTTACCTTTCATGGGAGTTATGCTGTTACTGCCATATAAGGAACAACAGATTTATGAAAGTCCCCTGAGGCCAGATTAATATTTTAAAACAAACAAGAATCATTGGGCCAATGAAATCACAGCTGAAGACATTTGCATAAAACTAAATAGCTCAGGTAGGTGGAATTCTGGTTTTCAAAATCTTTTCTTTGCTTAAAAATATTTTCCAAGTTAGTGAGCATGTTTTCCTTTTATAATTAGGGAGAAAATACCTTATAAAATATATGTTTTTAAATAGCAACAACATAAACAAATGGCAAATCTGTAGAGCTAGAAGAATTGAGAATTGTAAATTGCTTGGCGTATGCTTTGACTTCATTGCCTTTGTTCTGAATTTTAAGAGCTCCTTAGTATTAACTTGACAGAGCCATGCACCTATTCCCTGAAGGAAGTTTTGAATTTCGACAATTTACCAGCACAGAATATATACCTCCTCTCTCTTAGCTGAATCTATAAACTACTCTATTTCAAACGCCATGTCAGTCTCAGGAACATTATTTCAGTCATGACAATTGTTCTTATTCATAATTTCACCAATGAATTATTCATTATTGGTAGTTAACCAAAACTTCCCTTTCATTACTTGCAGGATGTGGCTTGATTTCAATGATATGTGGAGGCCAGACTTTAGCATACTGTTTATTCAAAGACAAATTTATCTATCCAAATCTGGAGGAGTTTTAACAGAACAGCTGAATTAATTTGCCTCAGACTTTCTATATTATTACAAACATTGTATCAGAGCTAAATTGTATTTTTTTGTTCCTGCTATATTCAGGGTTACATTTATTCAGGATACTTTATAACCATGAAAATAAAAAAGAGAAGTTAATGGAGAGCAGAAGAATCCTAGTAAAGAATTCATGAACAAAATGTTGCAAACTCATAAAACGCAGCGTTTCCAAAATTGTGTTCCATAGAGCACTAGTTCTGACGTATGTTAATAGTGCCATGCAAGGAAAATAAAAGTTGCATGTTTAAGTATGTTTATACAATCCTGGGTTTAAGTAAAACAGATTTATTTATTTCAGGACTTCTCAGAATCTTTAACATACTATTGTGAACAAGGCATCTCTAAGCAGTTTCTCAAATGTATTTGACCAGGGACACACTTAGAAAATGCTGATGTATCACATGGAAACTGTCACATAGGAGAAGGCAGATTCAAAACTACTGCAAATTGCAAATCCCTGTAACCAGAATTAGATTCTATTAATGTCCCACAGTATTTGTTTCTGTGTTAGAACATTCTTATGAAATAATTCCTTTTTTTTTTTTTTTTTTTTTGGTAACATTAGCATCTATTTCTTTCCTTAGACTCTAGTCTTGAACATAGTGCATTTGAATCACCTAGGGATCTTGTTACAATACAGATTTTGGTTTGGAAGGTCTGGGGTGGAGCCTGAAATTCTGATTTTTAACAATTCCCCGGAAATGCTTATGCTGCTAGTCCGTGAACCACACTTTGCGTAGCAAGGGTCTATGTAGGTGGGACCATATATTTTTAAGGTCCTATAGCTATGAACTGCAAGTCCTGTGCTTTTTATATCATTGTTATTCAATAAATACTTGTTAAATTGGATTAAAACTGAAACAAGTTAAGTTTATATAACTGTCTTAAATATTTACCACTTTTTAATGTAGTTAAAATATCTCCTGATATAAAAGAAGTGCATACCGTGGTTACAACTAAAATACAAGCATAGGAAGTAGGACAGGAAAGTAACATCCTCTTCCTCCACCCCCAACCCCATGCTCCCAGACACAAACGTTTTGGGAAACAATTAGAAAATAAATAAAACCATCTCTAGAATCTTTCCTAGATGAGTCTTTTTATCCTAAAAATCTATTTCTTCCATAAAAACATGCATTCAACCACTAAGAAACATCATGCTAATTCTATGTACTCTAGGTGACCTTCCAAAAACCACTTTGTGATCAGTCACTGGTTAGGTAATATAAGCTTCTCATGCACATGTGTGTATGAAAAGAATGATACTGTCTTCCTTGCTCCTTTCTCTCATTTACTTATGTTACCCCACAAAATTGGGGTTCTCTGCCTGATGTGCATAAATGAGCCAATTAATTATGGTACCAGCCTTTGAGGGGAGAGATCAGCTTTTATTCTGTGAGATCGAGCTCCAGGGAGACAGGAGGCTTGTGCCCTCAGATCTGTCTCCCTGATTCAGGATTTGGGACAAAATTTAAGAGGTTAGGGAGAACAGGTTGGCACGTGGGAATGCTGGTGGGACAGGTTTCGATTGGTGGGCTTCAGATATTTATGGTAAGGTTTTTTTTTAAAGATTTTTATTTATTTATTTTTTCCCCCCAAAGCCCCAGTAGATAGTTGTATGTCATAGCTGCACATCTTTCTAGTTGCTGTATGTGGGACATGGCCTCAGCATGGCCGGAGAAGTGGTGCGTTGATGTGCGCCTGGGATCTGAACCCGGGCTGCCAGCAGCGGAGCACGTGCACTCAACCGCTAAGCCACAGGGCCGGCCCTATGGTAAGGTTTTAAACATTTATGAGGTTCTAAACATCTATGATGAAATTGGAAAGGAATTTTAACACCGGATTTTCCAGAATGAGGGACCCCTCGCTTCTGATACTAGTCCGGCTTTCAAGTTCTGGTCACGTCTGGGTCCTTGGGTTCCGTAGAAGGAGGCTCTTTGGTTCCGAGGTCGTTTCAGGTCATGATTTCTGCTTTTGCGCATGCCCTGGCTGCGTGACTTTGCAGTTTTTCTGAAAGACAATCCTTAATCACTTTGTTGATAAGAGATGGGGTCTGTTCAAACTGGCTCTAAATGGGCACGTAGTTATACTTATTCACACAAACTTTTGTCTTCTATCCATTATTCTCATTCTTCCTGTTAATTTTCTCCAAAATGTTTGGTCGTGGAAGTATCAAAATCTGTAACTCATCTAAATCAGTCAAGGAACTGTAAATTCCAATTATACTAATAAAGATATTTTTTTTCATCTTTAAAGGAAGGCAGCATAGGGTAGCTATGAAAGGGTCAGCATTACGATCTTCGATTCCCCAATTAAAATTCCACTGGCAGCACATAGAAAAGAGTGTCTTGTTAGAGATAAAACTCAATCCTGCTCTATGAAAAATGCAAATATCGAACAAACCAAGAATACACTGAGGAGAAAGTCTGCCCCTATAGAAACTCACACAGGGAAGAAATTTACAGAAACATTGAAACTGCCTAAATAAATTTGATAATTAAAAAAGATTTGGTTGATTAAGTTCTTTTTAATATAATGAGAATTAAGTTACACTAGTAAATTAGAATAAGAATCTCTCCAGACTCAGAAGACCTTAATATCTCGTCATTCTGCAGTGTAGCTTAATTAGCATGTTTATTTCTAGGATTAGGAATCCATCTGCTCAGGTAATTACCATTATGTTAATCCTTCTCTTTATTTTTTCTCCTGATCACAAGAATAGTCTGTGCTTTTCTTCTTTTACTCATTAAAATGATTATTTTGATGACACCATTTGACAAAAAAATTAAAAATACAATTAGGGTGCTATTTTAGCTTAAAAATACTGTGTATCAGAAATAGCAACAAAATATTCACTTTATTTTTTATTGCCTTAAACTGTATATAAACTTCTCAAAGACCAAGAGTCATGCCCATTTAACTTACTTTTCCAGTGTCCCACACAGAATTATAAGTTGGTAGAATCCTATCTGGTATTTTGACGCATATTTTCCAGACAGGACTGATGTTATTTTCATATTTTTAAGAAAGGTAATACTCTTATGTATAACCTTTTCATAAATATGCTTTAAAGTTATTATACCATTGTGTTATCTCGGAATGTAAA